CCCTTCCCCACCCCCAGGCAATCCAACTTGGGGGCTACTCCTTTCAACCCCAGATCAGGCTTATTACATCCATGAGCGTGTGGACAAGGCTCATAGTAGTACAGAGAGGATTTCTTTGTACTACCTCAGAGCACTTGCCCCATGCCATCCAGTAAGGCATCAACAGCCAAGGGTGTTCCAAGGCATAAGAAAAAGCAAGTGACCTGGAACACATTCAGGCCACTGCACCAGGAGAGATCCCTTCTGACCCCTGTGAGCAGCCTGCTGAAACAAGAACTCAACTTACATTAATACTTGCAGCTTTACAAGCCCTGCTCCCTAATGCAAAGCAGCATCAAGGAGGGGTGGTAAACAGTATGGGGAGGGGTTGTATTTCAAGGCAAGGACTAAATATATAATAAAATAATAATTCCGTGTGACCCTCTGCACACAAGCCCAACAGGCTGCTTCCAGGCTGGTGTTAAGCAGCTCTTTAAAGAGGAGATGGATTTTAGATGAGACTGAACATGGAAACAGTCTATTGAGGAGATAGCAATTTAAACTCACTGCTACAAGTGGCATCCTAGAGGCCAAGTTATCTAAAGTTGACCTTCCAAGCATAGGACGACTTAAAAACAAAAAAACAAAACACAAAACACCCCACCAAGGTGAACACTCTTCTCTCTCCTCCAGTTATCAAGTGCTATATAAGCAAGGGCACAGCTGTCAAGTCATAGCAGTTTCTTCTTTGAAAGCAGAGTTCCCTGAAGTCTTATGCCACATTCCCCACCCCCAATCTCCCTTCTTTCAGTCTAAGAACTGTAAGCCTCAGCATACCCATCACCATTCCCAGACATTACCAGCAAAGATTCTGTCCTTAAATAGCTGAAGTTAGGACAGGAAATTCTTGGTGTCTTTCTAGAAAGGTCTTTTCATTTATCTCCTTATCATCCACTGCATCAAAGTTGGTTTTAATTTCTTCCATGAAGTACTCATTAGACTTCATGTAATGCAAAGCATTTTTAAAACAGTGTCATGCCACAAAACACGATATGTAGGAACACAGGTGCTTTACATCCTTCACCTGTGCAATCCCATCAAAAAGCTGGGGGGGGGTTTTTTGTTTGTTTGTTTTTTTTGTTTTTACAAGATTCACTTTCCATTATGTGCTACTTGTCTGGAGTTATTTTTCTATGCCAGCAAGTTCTAGTGCAGAGGCATTTGAAGAAGAATTAAAGAGCACCTTTCTGAAGCTTGCAAAGAAAGACAGTAAGAAACAGGCTGCATAAGCCATTTGAATCTTGATTTTCATTTAGTGATAGGGAGTAGCAACAGAATAGAAGTCTCTGCAAGTAGTACTAGTAGCTCACTGCCCAAGAACTAGGGACATGCATCTAGTAGCCCAATACAGCCTACAGGAGTTCTGAGTTTTTCTGTACTTCACCACTTCTTCACATGGAAGGTGATTTGAATAGTTAACACTTACTGGTTTAACATAGAAGAACCCCAAGCATCTCCATTTGCCCATTAGTCTCACCTACCATTCATCAGGCGCAAAGAGAAATGCAGTCTCTCCTCTGCAGACACAGTGGAGAAGAGAGGAGACCAAGTTGGCCTGACAGCTTTGCTGCTCACATTCTTCTTCCTGGAAGAGGAGAGCTCCATTCATGATCCAGGTCTAGTTAGTAGTGAGCATATGCAGAAAGGGAACTGAGCACTCAGCTCACCTGGGATAGTGACATTCAATAGGAATCACAGCAGGATTGGTTCGCAAGATAACTGCATTGCCAGCAGGGCTGGGGGTATAGTTCAAGCTGGTCCTATAGATCAAGGAGTCTGGGGTCATCTGGGTAAAGATCAGACACGGAAAGAGTTAAGGCATACCTGAATATCATCAACAGTTCTCCCTAGAGAGCACCAAAAGCCAGGTGACTATGTGAAGTCTGACTGATACATGAAGCCCCTCACCCAGCCAGCCCCACTTCTGGGGCTCATTGAGGAAGAAAGCTCTTCAATGACTTTACAGGGCTGGGACTGGAGGTTAGGAATAGGACCCCAGAGGGAGTGAGGAGGAAGCCTATAGAGGAAACAAGATGTTACCAGGGCTCTAACCTAGGGGTCTTGAGGCAGACCTGGACCAGTCTTACCTGCAAGAAACTCCCACAGTCCTGGAGCCCTGCTGCAAAGGTCACTGTATTCTCCACATCATTAAGGGCCACATGCTGGCAAGCAGCTGAGCCCAGACTCAGGTCAGCAGCTTTGATCAGCCGCCCAGTCCCAAATAGATCCCTATGTACAGTTACCACCATCTGAGCTTCCTGACACTGCACTATGACAGGCTGTGGCAGGGGCACCACCCTTATTTGTGAAGCATCAACCCAAGCCCAGGGGGAGGACTGGGAACTAGAAGCATCAGCTCTAGATGGGGGCCTCCAGATAGCTGAGTCACTCCTAGAGAAATCCCAAGGGTTGTAGCAAACTCCCCCACTGAACACCCAGCACAGGACCACCCACTCCAGACAACCTGAGACCCTCATCCTTCTTGAGTACAGCAACTCCAGCTTGAGGAAAGCTACTGCTTGGGAACCTTTTATACCCTGGAATTGGAGCCAATCACACCTGTCCCCACTAATTAGTACCCTTGCTTAGACTGCAGGCAGCTGAGGCCAATCTCACCCACTGTCCAGATCCCAGGGATGGGGGAGATAATGAATGGAAATTACTACCACCTGGGGTGTCAGTTGATCTTTTGTGTTTAGGGAAATGCCTAATATGCTTCAGATAATTAAGAGGTAAAAGTCTTGGCGGGGATTAGAGCTATCAGTTATCAGCCTTGATGTTGGTGCTGGAGAAGTATATGGTCCTGGGGTGATACAGTGAATGGTACCAAAATGACAGTGCCTGGTTTGCTGATTAAACTCACATTCTTAAGAGACTATTAGCCTGATTCTTCTATTCTACAGGCAGGGCAGCTGAGCAAATGTTACTCTGTGCATTTCGGGAAGAGCTCAAGATGACAAAAACTTCTTACTGCATAGATACCATAAGAGAGCTGGAAGAGGACAGTAAGGGGGTGGGGCTGCTGGTCAGTGCTGAGCTGGAGGTGCTTTACCACTGGGAGACTGGAGCAGTGGGGGCCTCTTGCTGGAGAGAGCTTCTGTGCTGCCTGAGAAGCAGGCACTGCCAGTGTCCCTAAAAGCAGCCTCCCATCATAACACTCCTTGACACTTCTGAGGCCTCATGCCCAGAGCTCAGTACCTTGGAGCTACGATAAACTCTATGCAGCTCCTTAGCAATAAAGAGCATTGTCTTACTGGGGGTTTCTTCTCTGTGTTAATCTCATCCATGCTCCTGTGAGTAAAGAGGGCACTCCCAATGTGGAGGGGACACATGCCAGACCTGAAGCGTTGTCTCTAGTGGTCAGGCATTCTCTCTCAGGGTTGGAGATGGGCACATCCGTTGCCTATGAAGACCTACCCTAGCTGTGGCTTCCCTCTGCTAGGACATGAGGTCCCAAGCATTCCCCACTGAGTTGAAGACAGAATCACAGAAGATTATGAGCCCCAATGGGAAAAGATTTGGTGGGTGGATTGGAAAGGCAGAAGAGGGGAATTTCTCTTCCACACTGAGGGCCAGCACTAAGTTTGTGTAGTAAGTAGGACCCCCATCAGGACCTAGTCAGGGCTTAGTCTTTGTGCCAAACCTCTGTGTATGGATGAGTTTCACCCACACCTCATGGCTAACACATCTATGTCTAAGCTAACCTGCCCCTGATTCTCTACCTAGCTGAAGTGAGAGCTTGGCTTTTACCCTGTCCTGCTGGCTGAGGGGTGCAAGGAGAAATCCAGTCTTTTTCCTCCTGCCCTCATGTGTCAGGGGAAGTTCTCCAGGGATGTCCACACTGTAGTCAGAGGCAGGGCTGCAGCTGAAGTAGACATACCCCTGTGGAGTTCAAGGAAGCAAACTTGGGAGATGATAAGCAATGTATCCAAATTCGCACAGCTATCATCTGCTAACTATGCTGTGAAGTCTGTGCTACTAGACTTCTACAGCAGATAATTGTCCCCTGTCAGCTCCTGCACTATGTGGAAGTCCCCAAGATAGAGTTGGTGTCACTGGTTTGTGGACATTCCCCTTCCTATTGAATGATGCAGATGGGTGAATGGAAAGGACATGTCCAGATCATGGCTGCACACCCACTGCTTCTCGGTAGCATATAGGCTCCTTGGGACTACAGAGTAGTTTGAGGTGGCTCTAACAGACAAAATGACCAGGGTTGGCACAGAACATCCTTAGGATCTAAAAGTCACAGGTCACATATTTGTAGTCCCCCAGTGGATACTGTGTGCAGCTGAGAATTTAGCTCCAGGACTCCTAAATATCCATCTAATCTTCTCTCCCCTGGGCCAAGTGCTTTATGTCACTTCATGTAATTTGCTTCCTTAGTCTCTTCAAATAACCATATTGTTTGCTATCCAGCCCTTGGACAAAACTATTGAGGAAATGTGCAATCTGACACATCATGGATATGGGCAGGTGCATTGGGCCTTGTGCTTCCATACTGATATGTGCACTGGTGATCTAATCCCCACTGACAGAGTGTGGGTGGGGAGTTTACTGTCAGCAGCTACCTTCCCAATAAAAAGTCCATCTCTTTCTTTGCAAGCCTCACCTTGTCCATGTTAGACACTGTTAACCTGGAACCTCAGCCAGTTGGTTTGAAGAGGAAGGAGGGTTCCCCATTGCAATAGAATTTGCCCATAGATACAAGCACAAGAAAGGACTAGGACAGGTAAGGATCAACTTTAAGCTTCTTGCAGGGCTTTCTGGACAGGACAGGTCAGGGCAGGAGGGATTTTTCTGGATGGATACTTTATTACCAGCTCATCTGTTAAAGAAAACTAGCATAGATACTGACAGTCCCTTTAAGTACATGTGCCACATGTTGACACATTTTCAGATTTTCTCTTACTGTTTCACTCACCTCTAAGAATGGACCAGCCAGTTTGGAGCAAGTAACAACTGGCTTGAACCTTTGTCCAACATTCAGAATGAACCTGACTTGAACTAATTTTTATTTATTTTTATGAATTTTTGCACATCAAGATCATGAACTAGAAATGCACCAGCTCCTCTGAGAAAGGCTATTTGCAGAGGTATTGCTTGTAGGTTTTAAGAAGCACTGATAATCTCTTGCTAGGAATCCTCCCCTGCACACTTAGCAGCATGGAAGATATGGAGATTTCATTTGCTGCCATAGCTGTATCCAGTTTAATCTTGTGTAGGCCAGTGAAGGCCAATCTTTTTGGCAGACAACCTTTTCCCAGACAATCCCCAAGTGCCACTTCAATCCCCTTCTACTGCCCAATCTGCTGTTCTGCTTTCTGTTTTCTGACCCATCCCCAGTCTGCTGTATGCCACATACAGAGTTTGCTCATACCACTCATACCCCTGGGTGGCCACCCCAGTATCAGTAATGTGGTGAAATCAGGTTGACCTGGTGACCATAACCAGTTGCTCTTCTGGTTCCTCTTAGGCAGCTGACAGTTCAGCATTGGCATAGAAAACTGACACAAAACAATGGTATGGAAAAAACTCAAAGTTTCTTTGCTGCTTATAGCAGGTAAGAAATTCTTCCATATAAACAATTATTTTGTTAGAAGTTCCATCAAAGGAACATAGGGCTGGCCAAACAGGATGAAACCAATGGCCCATATAGTTCAAACTCTTGTCTTGGATAGTGCCTAGCACCAGAGGGCAGGGCAGGCCAGCATAAACTCCCTCATATACAGTGCAGCATATCTACACTGGGGCCTTCCACTAGCATAGCTACTTTAGTGAATAAACACAGCCTAACCATGGGTTAGTGCAGGACAGTGAGGACGTAAGCCTGAGGCATGAGAGGTATTTCATTCAGCAGCCTTGTGCTACACAATTCTGAGGGATGGAGAAAAAGCACTCATTTACTGGGAGGTTCATCTGAAACGTAACTGATGTGTCCCACAACCCATGATCCCTACACACAGTGTTCTTTTCATTCTGATTCACAGTCATTGGATAGACTGCTCTCCTGAGCATTACTTTCTAATGCAGTTGCCACGGCTGGAGAAATTGAATCCAAGTAGAAAGTCCTGCAGAATCCTCATGGATTCATAGATGTTAGGGGCAATTTAAGGTTGAATTATGCTGCCTTGCAGGCACTTCTGATAATACTGCTGTATTTTAAATATGTCTTCATCGCCAGCTGATGCTGTTGAGAGCATAAAGAATTTCACACCTTCCAAAACCCACTGATCCCCAAATCCCGTCTCATCCAAACCCACAGGGATATTTGAACTATGTTCTTCTTTTACTAGGCATTAGGCATTTCTACACGAGACATTTACTCTGGAGCTGTCTAATTAGCTCCACAGTAAAGTCTTGACATCTACACGTGCAGCCCTATTAGGTCACAGTGAGCGCATCTAGACGAGTTGCTGACTGCAGTAGCCAAATATTACTGCTCAGTAGAGTGTTACAGCACTAACAGTGCTAATATGCTACTATGCAATAGTATTAGGCTACTGCACAGTAGTGTCACTTAAAAGACGTTCACTAGTGCTACTGCACAGTAACTCCAGTTACTGTACATTTATTTAGTGCTTCATTATGCAAGTACAGTAAAAGTTCTGTTATTTGGCATCCATGGGGAATGGGGGTGTCAGTTAATCAAATATGCCGGTTATCGGAGAGTTATACTTGGCCATAGTGGCAGGATGGGTGAGATATTCAGCGATAAAGTCAGAACACAACACAAGCACAATGCGATCACAATAGCGGGTGTTTACAATTGAGACTGCTGCTAGCGGCACTGCTCAGCAGCGTCCTGAAGCTTCCATAGACAACAGATCTATGAGACGCGCACGGCAAGATGCCACATGGCAACATGTATTGCTGTCTCTGACAGATGCTGGTTAATACAGCATTCCAGATGGTAAAGTGCCAGATAAGCGCGCAGTAACCATTGCTCAGTAGCATCTCGTGTAGATGCGCCCAGTAAACAAATAAATGCTGCCATAGGCTAGTACTTGTAAATACAAGTACTATCCCGTGTTGGCATTATTTACTGTGTAGCAGTGCACATGTAGACGCTGATGGGGATGGCTGGGGCATGAGGGTGCTCCAGTATGGGGGCTGCCTGCTAGCTAAGCCCAGCACTGGAGCACCCTTGTGCCCCAGCCAGCCCCTCCACAGCATGTTGAGCCTGTTGGAGTAGCCCTGGGCTGGCAGGGTGGCCCCCCAGGTCCCCTGCCAGCTGGAGCTGTTCTGACTTGGCTCAATGCGCTGTGGTCTTGAGCGCACGTGCAAATGTGGCACCTGGGAGCAATAAACTCTGGCATGATGTGTGCTGGAGTTTATTTCTTCACATTAATTGTAAGTGTAGATGCACCCATTGGCCACATCCAGATGAGCATGGACGTTTGGTTCCCAGGGGACAAGTAGCTGCGGCACACTTTGCACCACCACTACTCATCCCTGGGGAACGCTTGTGCCATGTGCGCTTTGATGCATGGCAAGTTACCCTGGATG